TGCGCTTACGAGCTCTGAGTTTTCTCCACCCCGCTCCTAGCTTAGTTTCTGCACTAAGTGCGGCTTGCCACTTCCTCTCTGGCAGTCCTTCCCTGTTGGTACCCTCAGAGTCCTCCTAAAGCTCCGGTACCGCCCGCGTTTCCTTCTGCTCTACTCCCTACTCTTGCCAAGCTCCTGAGCTTTCCCGCCCATTTTTAAAAAATACCCGCGTTTACTTCTGATCCATTCCCGACTCCTGCCAGGCTCCTTTGCTTTCCCGCCATTCTGTTTGCCGTCGAAAATAAAACGCGTTACTCGTCTACTTCGCGTATCCGCAGTCTTTCCAGTTTTTTGCTGGAAACGCTTCTTTCGGTAAAAGATCTACTCCAGAGCCAGACAATCCACGGGTCATCAAGGAAGATTTTGAAACAGTCAAAAAAGCAGCTCGCGCTCCGTAGAGAGCTAAGGACAGAAAGCCAGAGAAATCGAGAGCAAAGCACAAAATCAGAAGACAACACAAAAAACAAAAACAAAAAACAACACCCACCCACGACAAAACGGCAAATCAGAAACGTTTCTGCCTCTATCTCGCCTGTCCAAGCGCCGGCTCTCCGCCAGATTCGATATTTCCATACTTCCGCAGACGTTCTTCGGGCCACTTACTTCCAAACTCGTGCCCCTGCCGCCCATTCTTGTAGATCGATGTATGTGGCCATCCTCCCGTCCAATTGTCCGGACTCCAGTTACTACATCCTCTTTACCAACCCCCCAGTCTCTTGTTCCATTCCTCCCACCCTGGTGCACAATTACACGTAAATTTTCCCAAGCGGCCATTGAAAATCCATGGTGGATACTTCTGTAGCCGCAACTGTCTCTTGATCGTCAGCAGGCCGAGGCCCGCTAGTTCGTCCGAAGTCGTCATTGCCCGGATCCTGTCAAGGGCGCTTGTTACCACGGCCTTCTTCTGTCGCAATGTGGAGTAGGATTCGAAATCTTGAAAGGTACGATAGGAGAAAGCTTTTCTCATCACTCCAGACTTGGTCAAAGTTCTTCGCGAAACATTGGCTCGACACCTTGTTCCCCCGGATCTCTATTCGCGCGCCCAAAAAAGTCCACGTGCCCTCCCCCCATCTGTTCGTTTCAGAGTAACTTTTTCGTTGTACGTTGCTTCAAACATTCTCAGGATTCGTTCTCGCCGAGCATCACCTTGTTTCACGGGGCACCAAATGAGAATGGTGACATCATCAATCAGTCTCCAACCCTTCACCAAGGTTCTGTCCACTCCAAGGTTCGACAGGAATGAGAACTCGTTCATAGCGCGCACAGGATGCATGCCAACGGGTGGCTGCTGCTTTTACCCATTGGAATGCCGACGTGTTGCTGGATGAGTCTTTCGGACGCCACCACGGAGGTGTTTCCCAGTTCGAACCCTACCATCTTCCTGAGTTCTTCAAAACTAATCTCGATCCAGAACTCATTGCCCACTTTCCTTGCGAATGCGGCCCCCTTTCCCCTCCTCCGAACACTTACCATTGTTCTCCCTTTCAGTCTATACCACCCCAGCAGCCAGTCCACAGCTGCTATGATTGAATCATGAGGGAGCGGGCTAAACATTTCCTTAATGTCAAACGCAGCTCCCACCAGCTCACCTTCCCCTTTCCTTTCAACCCACTTGTTTGCCTCCGTTACCCGATCCTTCAAAAGCATAGTCGACTTCAAATTGAAATACATTGGGTTGGGCAACAAAAGCAGCAGATGATTTAGTGCTCTGGCCACCCTTCCTCCCGCGGTTTTTGACGGTTCGGAGAAGGAAGGGCTGATGGGCCTGAACTTACTTATGTCCTTGTTTTTAGGCAGAATGTAAGCTCGGCCCACCAAACCCTTCCTGTCCCACTTCCCCAGCATTCCTAGCCCTCTTTGTTTAAAGTCTGATTCACATCGCATCAGTACCTCAGCCTCGTCCTCCTGGATGGCGGCAAAGCTGTGATTACCCCAGAACACCTTTTCCATCCCCCTGGCATAAACCATGGGACACATCACCACCGTATCTGCTGAGTTTCTGTCCACTGCACTACAGACTAACCCTCGACACATTTCCATCACTTCCCGTACCTTTTCCACGTGATTGTTTCGCATCTTAATTCTACCATTCACACAGTTCTCTATCTGCTGCAGGCTTACTGTTGACTTCAAACCCAAGTTTACCAGACAGTCATTCACTTCTCTCATAGTTTTGTCCTTCTTTACACTGCCACCTTCGTACACAATGTTACGTGCATTCAATACGAACTCGTGCACTCCCTCTACCTCGCTAAGCTTACACTGCACGTGACCCTCCTTTTGCGGGAGGGCACTGCCTGCACAAGTGCAGACTTCCACGAACTGCTGTGAGGCAGTGCGGTGGTTATGGAGAATCTCCCCAACGGTTCGGTTTTGCTTCCACACCATCAGGAGTCTCCGACACGTGTAGTCAGCCAAGGATTGAGGTATCTCCTTCCGAATCCTTCCTGATACAATTTCTCGTAGTTTTCTCAACGACAGTAACAGATGCTTTCTTCCTAATGTTAACTCGGAACTTCTTCCACAAGACCCCTGCTAGCGTGTCTTTCAAACTCTTCCGTGAAGCTGGTCTAGAAAAAAACTCAATAGCCGATACCAGTTGCATCAGCTTCTCCAGGTCATAGTCATACAGTCTCTTCTTATACCAATTACCCCGGATCACCTGATACAGTTCCCGTTTCAGGCTCGCGTTTGCTTTTGACAACGTTTTTCCTTGCCACTTCACGATATCAACGACACATCCGGCTTCCAGTTCCAGTTTGCAATCCCGGATCATTTTTTCTCTCCCACTCACTGATCCTTGCGCAGGGCCCATGCTAATTACCCTTCTCTGTATCTTTCCAATTTTTACAGATGTCCCGATGGACTTTTTCCCCGATTTGCTCCCTCATGTATGTATGTGATGTGATGTGGGGAGCGGGAAAAAAAAAAAAAAAAAAAAAAAAAAAAAAAAAA